GTTACGTTTTCGGTAGGTTTCATTCACCCCAAAATAATTTCATTCACATTTGGGTGAGCGATTCACCAGTTTAAGAAGCACTGGACTAGAACCCAGAATTCGATCGGTTACTCTAGACACGAAATTGACGATACTGTGTAAAATACCAGAGTTCGCTGGAGGGGGGAGGGGGCAGGGTCGCTAACTTGAGAAGTGAAGGGCCTGATTCGAATAGCCGAGACTCTTGAAAGTAATATCATTTTTACCTAGCATGGGTGATAGAGTGGCCACGCCGACTCAAAACAAAATCATACGAATATTTTTACATAATGCACTTACATTTGTATAATGCGTTTATAGATTTGTATGATGTTATGTGTATGATGTGTCAACCCCCTCTCCCCCTCTCTCTCTCTCCCTCTCCCCCCTCTGCACTCACCTTCACGTTGACCATGTCGGGGAGCGGCCGGTGCCACAGGCGCCCCCTGTCCACCGGCAAATTTGCCATTTCGAGCAGCTGATTGTACGAACGGCGCGGGCTGGCCACTAGGTGTCACTGGTGCCGCTGCGACAGCGCCAGGGGGTGGCGTCATCTTTCCCTCAACGGGTGTCGTCGGTCGGCTTACCTTTGAGCTTCCCTCCGCCCTAAAACAACAGAACGTCGACATTACTCCTACACAGCAGGTCAGCTACACACGTGGAGCACTGCTAATATGATGCAACACAACTAAAGCTGGGTTTACACTACCAACTTTGTGTTGGCGAATTGGCGAATTGGACCAACTTCCCAATTATACAACGGACAATCGGCAGTGTAAATGAAAAAGTTGCGCGTCCAACCGATCGATAGCAACTAGTTGGGAGATTAGAACGTTCTATTTTCGCCAACTCGGAGTTGCCGAATTGGAAAGTTGGTCAAACTCGCCAATTTGCCAACATATAGTCAGTCGGTAGTATAAACCAGGCTTAACATTGCTTACACACATTAAATTGATTCTCTTACCCAACACTCTGAAAATTAAACTTGATAACTCACTAGAAGGGATGCCTGATGAAAGATGGAACTCGTGAAACGACACAAGAATGTTCTATCTAGATCATATTTCATCAGGTGCAACAAAGAACAGAGTACGTAGAAGTGCTTATTAGGTTGTTAGCTTCAGTACAACAGCAGGGTGTGAAATTAACGGGAGTCTGGAGTCAAATACTCCCTGATTTACTGTCAGACTCCCTGATTTGACATATGTAAGAGTCCGTGCGACTCCCTGAAAATTCTGCTATACTAACTAGTTCGTTCCAGAGCACGGCCTCCTTATTATTCCCACGCGAAATTACCGTATTTTTTCAGCAAATGTCCAAAGAAATTTTGGCAGACGTGCATCCGCATGAATCTTCAAAACAAGCACATGCGTTATTGTTAATATTTTGAACTTCAGAATGCGGACTCCCTCATTTTGCTGCGGACACCCTCTTTTTGAGGGCAGGTAGTCCGTTGGACTACCTTGTTCAAAAGTTAATTTCTACCCCTGTAACAGCCATTAATTTGAATAAGCTCATAAGTAATAACTACCTCTGCAGACTAAATTGGAAGAATAGCTCTACCTCCTAACAACACTAAGGTATCTTACCTTGTTTTCTTCAGTTGAATATTTGATCCAAGCTTCTCTAGTTTTATTTCGCCTGTCGCATGGTCGATGATAAGAATGCATTCCTTGTGACAAGGCTTCTTAAACCCTTTGTAAACTGTTCGGTTTGTACCTGCCCCCTACAGACCCAAACCAATGTTTAAGTGTGCTCAACACCAGACAATCTTCCGGTTCCATTACCATGAATGAACATGCAATTAATTCGGACCATGTGAACTTGTGCACGACCGAGCGTGGCATACATTTGTTTCTGCAGAGTGAACTTACCTCGACATGGGGCACAGTCACTGTCACCTCATTTCCACCCTCTCCAACTTCAACGTCTGAGACTTTTGTCGTATCAACCGACTTTGACCTAAAGTCATCTATGTTCAGCAATAAAACATCATGTTAAGTACTTCAAAATGATGAAAACAGTTACCAGGACCAACAGTAGTTTATACCTGACAGACAGGCCTGGGTCAATCAACATGCCATTTCAGCGATTACATGACGTTAGGTTTCTTTCACAAGATCACTGTACATATAACAACATTTACACATTCTAAAAAAAAACATCAAACTAAAAAAAGTGAAATGATGTTGACCCATTCAATTACCTTCCAAATCCTGCAAGTTCTACAAAGATGGACATAATCACTCAGTGCATTTCTAATGGTACTCACATCTAACTGTATGGTATACAGGTTTCGCATTTTTCGCAAAGCTGGCGCCCAACTTTAAGTCCTGGGTTCCTAGGGTAAGATCAGCCATATTGTTTTTGCCATTACACAAAAGCAATGGCCATTCTTCTAATGTCAGCCGGCTGTTAACACGTGCCCCTCTGCTGAAGCTAGGAGAGCTATAACTATAACACAAAAAACAAAGTTCTGTTTATATATGACTGGTTGTTACAATTCACATATAATACCCATTACACATAATTACTAGAAAATATACGTAGCTGAGATTATGGCCATACTTTCGATAGAGGCACAGTGTCGGAGCAGGGAAAATGAGCACCTTCTTGAATGGAGGAGTTTCCTTATTGGTTTTTGCAACCTGAAATATTTTGAAACTTACTGGTTCTATGCATTCCTACATCAGTACATGGTTACTCTTCCTTAACAGGTAATGTACGAGGAATGGCTCGGCGCTTGGCGCTTCGACAACAGTTTTTAGAATGGTTCGATTCTTGGGACATCATTTTTAAACACCTTCATGAACCATTTAGGTCACTGCTACACAGCCAGGAAAGCATAAGATCGTGCCTTGGCAAAGGGAGTGGAGACAGTTAGAAGAACGATGTGTGCAGGTGTTTGCATCAGAACAACAGTGAGGGCAGCAGCCGCGTGACAATGGAGGAAGCTAAGAAGGGGGCAGCAGGAAGAAGATGCTGGGAATGGCGGAGGCTGGAGAGGATGCTGAGAGAATTGGGAAAAGATGGCGGAGGCAGGAAGAAGATGCTGGAATGCGGAGGCAGGGAGAGGCATGCTGAGGGAAATGGAAAAAGATGCGGAGGCAGGAAGAAGATGCTGGGATGCGGGAGGCGGAGAAGAGTGCGGAGGCTGAGGAGAGGATGCTGAGGGAAATGGGAAAAGATGCTGGGAATGCGGAGGCAGGGAGAGGATGCTGAAGGCTGGGAGAGGATACTGAGGGAAATGGGAACGATGCAGAGCAGGAGAAGGTGCGGTGTAGGTAGTGGAGAAAGATGATGTAGAGGCATTGCAAGAAGTCCACCATGAGCTGAGCTGTTGTTACATCTGCCTGCAACAGTGTTCTAATATGCACAACGTTGGCTGGTTGTCCAGTAATGATCAGCCATAGTGGTATATCAGAGAATCGGTGCACATACATAATTTATTTATCTAACTATATACAACCTGTGGTGTTTTATTGCAATTGTTAACAAATCTTCGCGTTATTGTAATGGTTACGAGAGTTTGATGCTGTTTTCTGCATTGCTTCTTGCAGTATTCGATTCAGGGATCGTGTGAAATACAGTTGCGTATTAGCACACATATTCTAGAGTCGACCTATTTTCTGTTACATGAGATGTAAAATATAAATGATTAACAAGCGTTACGGCTGGCATATATAAAATGGAGTCTGTGCAAGTGAATTCAATATATGTTCTGGCTTTATGGCATGGATCTAATCTAGACTATACTCTCATAAGGCGTCTGTATGTTCGGAGATACTATTGTGCATTTTCACTGGCTATCTGTCCATCACGCAACGCACATCTGAACACCTATCGGAAGCATAGGATGCCATATGAATTAC